ATACTACATCCTTAACCCGTAATTATACAAACTGACTGGTTTTCCAGTAATTATAATCCTATTTCGTTTTTTCTACCCAATTTTCCTATTACTACAAACTGTAATTTTTAATTTGACCTTTGACTTGAAATATTTCTAGAATAGTGCCACTACTAATCTTTTGTTTATTACACTTAGCAATCTTACTAATTTGACCTCTAACCGGAAATAATTCTGGAGCTTTCTCACACATGTAATATAAATACACGAATGTACAGCCTAGTTGATAACTTCGTCAAAAAGAAAATTCTCTTCGCTGCAACCGTCTTTTTAATAATTTCTAAGTGAGTCAACTGAACCTCCTGCGTGGCTAGGAAGCATTCTTCCGTCGAACTATAGAGGCTAAGTGACTGCATTTCCGTCTTTTCGCAGAGATGTTACGTCTCAACTTCAAGACTCTTATATGCAAACCAAACACTCCACCAATGAGCTACACTCCCCAAAAGCAACCAGTAGTTATCTTCATATTTCCTTGCACAAAAGTATTCAAATTTCAAAAAGAAAATTAGTAAATGAGAAAATATTCGACAATATATACGAAGTAAAACTTATTTCTATTTATTGCATAACTCTAGTCATCAAAATAACAATGAAAGTCACGAAATATCGTCTGATATTTCTGAAAACACACAATATTAAATAATAAAAAATACCTTCCTATGTTGTCACATAATCTGAGTCAGCGATGACTTTACTGTGATTAATTTAATTCCATATTAGTTTGTTTATTAAGTATATCACACAGTGAAACAGTAAATAATACTGTTTCACTGTGTGATATACCTAATAAACAAACTAATATGGAATTACTTACTTCCACAGTGCCCAAGTTTTACACATATATTAATGTGATTAATTTATTTCTCAGATGGCTTTACAGTCAGTAAGAGAAAGAAAACAACCGATTAATGCTTACTATGGAGGAAAATTATCATCATTATGAGCATAATTCAAAAGATAAGTGTAATTAATTACCTGTAGGATTGAAGGCTTTGATTCAACTGTCAGTAATGCAGGTTGTGTTGTTTTTCTGTTGTAAGGTCGACGTAAAACCAAGTGTAGGCCCTTAGTCGATCCGGGCTCACGTACCATGGTATTATTCATTGTTATCTTGAGGTAGTGTGTGTATTCAATAAAGATATTTATACCCGATTTAGACTAGCAAATTATTAATATGCAGAAATTTTAGAGATAAACGGTTAAGAACAATACTACTGAACAAATCTAACTGGTTATTGAGCTCTTGTGGTTCTAACTACTCGCGTTTCGAATCAAACACAGAATGTGTAATTTTTGAGAGGTTGGGTTGGTAATCTCATGATCAACATTTCTTTCGGAATCGAATCCCGACTTCAAACACGGCTGGATAGCATCCTACTACGGGATCACCGATGAGCAGCCAAAACAGTAAACAATAATTAGTACAAGTGTGTATCGGATAACGGTCGTGACTTACATAGTTTCTACTCTCAGGGATAACTCCTTGTTACTTTTTTACTAAGAAGGTGAAATTTCTTTTTCCAGTCGGATAAACAGGTGAGGCTTTAGACTCTTCAGAAACATCAGTTTTTCCGTCAACTGGAAAATCATTTTTCCGAATGTCTCTTATTTACTTGTAAGGTAAGTGAAAAAATGCTACCAGTGTGTCTGGTTTAGCTATATAAAGCATTTCAACCTCTAAATAAACTGTGTCAAAATTGGGCAAACAATAATTCAGCGGATAGCGGTTTCATCTGCCACCAACTCTGATGTAACAGTTACCTTTTTACGTGGGCGGCTGTCATGTTAACTTAAAATTATTTCAGTAAAAATGTAAAAAGCACAATAATTCTACAAATATTCAAGTAATGGTTTGTAGGGAATTTGTTTGATTGCATGGAGGATTTCATCATGAGCTGACATCAGTTAGAGAACCACTGGAAAACCTGAGAGTACTGGACAGCTGTTTCGTCCTAGTTTGGGACTTTTCAGAAGTACGCACCCGCCTGGGTTCGAACCCAGGACCTTCTGGTTACAAGGCAGAAATTAGAATTCAAGGACCATTTGGTCGGGTCACAGTGGCTCAATGGTCTACGAGCTCGCCTTGTAACTAGAAGATCCTGGGTCCGAAACCCGGTAGGCGCGTACTTCTGAAGAGTCCCTAACTAGGACGAAACAGCTGTCCAGTACTCCCAGGTTTTCCAGTGGTTCTCTAACTGATGTCAGCTCATGATGAAATCCTCCATGCAACCCTACAAATAGTCAGGTTTATTCTAGCCACCAATATTATTAGCCATTTCTTGTCTGTGGATACGTGAATTGTTCCATCCGTTTGCAGGCACGAATTACAGACTTAAAAATTTACGTTAAACCCCTTAAAATTACCAAATTTCATCACAAAATTAATTTTAAATTTTTCCTTTAGTTCCACGCATGAATCTTTTACCCCCTTCAGATAAATCTTCCAAATTGATGGAATTGACCTTCACTTCACTCTAAGAAGATCTGTTCTTTGTAGGCTTGTCTGACAACGTAATTTCTGCGGCTGTCACTTGACACTGTATAGGACATGAGACAGTAATACTTGCGCAAAGTTGCCACCAAACAGTAACTGATGTAGCTCTCAATTACTGTGTGCTCATTGAAGTTTGTCGGTTTCACTTGTTACATGGTCAGTAAAGAAACATGCACCACAATACAGAATAAGATACTACGGAACAAGCACCAATGCTCATAATTTTTAAAGCTACACATAATTTAACATTTACAGTTTAACCGTTAACGCTTCACACAATAGCCACTGTAGCCTCCTGTAAGAAACCTGAAGCGATAATTGCCAAATGAACATCTATAAGTACTATATTAACAGATAAGAATAATGAATACAAACCACCAACCTCAAATTATCAAGTGTCTGGGCTTAATGTCGTCAAAAGCACTGTCATGGTGCGTCGAAAGCAGTGCTGTGCTAAGAATGATTCGAGGTTAGCAATCAACAACACATGAATGTACGAAGCAAGGAAAATGAGGTAAAAGTTAATCAGCTCCAGTGGATGGTTGAACATGAGGTAGACGTGAACAGCAGATACAGACTAACCATAGGGGAATAATTACTATAGACAATATCGAATGTGGATATATTCAAAAATATACTGTTTAGTGGATGTGGATAATTATGATGAACAAAATATGACGTATGCTACTAAATAGTAATGAGTAACATCAAACTGAACACAAAAAAATTAGTGGTAGCAGATCAGTGGTGGTTAGTTAAGAGAAGCATTAAAACTTGACACTTCTGATTATGGGAAGTTTCCCACCATCGCATTCCCTGTCGGGTAATGTTAGCTGGCATTGTATAATGCTAGAAAACAGTTACGGGTGGTCGAATCAAAAATTGCATCAGCCTATGAAATCTTTGGCTATCGTTTTAGGCTGCGCACGGATGCATAGTCTACCTGACTGTTGTTATGCAGACTGTAGGAACAAATGACTGAAGGTTGTTGGTGACATGGCTAAAAGTCGCTGTCTTTACTTTTAGTCTATGACCTCATAGATCTTCTAAAATCCTGACAATTCTCCTGTACATTATTCTTAAGTCTTATTAAAGTGGGAAGTCGTGACCAGCAGGGTGCAGCAGATTGGGTGTGAGGACAAATACTCGCTGAAGACATTGGCTAGCGGTTGCGCTATGTCGTGAATTGGAAGAAGTTAGAATTAGTGGGCCATTGGATCGGGTCCCAGTGGTTTAATGGTATGCGAGCTCGCCTTGTAACCAGAAGGTCCTGGGTTCGAACCCCAGTGGGCGCGTACTTCTGAAGAGTCCCAAACTAGGACGAAACAGCTGTCCAGTACTCCCATGTTTTCCAGTGGTTCTCTAATCAATGTCAGCTAATGATGAAATCCTGTAACCAATAAAGTATATTTACTTTTTTCTCTGTACCTCAATATGTTTTATATGGGGTGTGGTAACTTGAACGGTCACACTTCTGTTCAAAGTTCTGTGCTGAAAATTCATCTTTCATTTTCGTTGCTTGCATCAGCTGCCACAGTTGCTTGTATGAAACTTAATGAGAACAAAAGACACGGAGTGTCTCAAGTCGGAAATCTAAATACCTACCGCGCTCATAAGTAGATGTAATGGCAAGCTGAACAGTATAATCAAACATTTTGTGTTGTATTATTCTGCCTCCTTCTCTATCGATCCCACTTTTTTATCTCTCACATTATCTAGCCACAGTATGTTTACACAGTTATGCAGATGGAAACTACCGATACATTAAACAACGTTACTATGCTCTTTTCACAACTACCACTTTTACATTAAGTAGAGAGGACAAAAATATATATCACCCAAAAGACCACAGACTGCTGTCACATAAGAGCTTGAACACATCTTGTTTATCAATGTGCCTCCTTCCACCAAATTAATTCTCTTTATTCTCACACAGTTCACAGTTTGTGGTGAACTCTGAGAAAGTATGCTTAAGATATGATCCATCCAAGTCTGACGTAGAGGTTTAAAACTTCACTGACTTTCATCACTCTGTCACTCGAGTCCCTATCTAAAACTGAACCGAAACTAGATTAAATAAGTTCAGTGACTGTCTGCTGCGCCAAATATGAACAGAATCTGACCTAGATAGTCAGTTATCATATGTAGTTCATCCTTACTCAAATAAGTTCGTAGTACAATACTGCTGGCAAGGATTCGAACGTAACAAATTTCAGGTGTAGATTAAATAGCATTCATAGTAGCTGAAATCTATCCAAAATTCAACCCACCTGTGAGACAGATCTGTGTCCAACAGATAGTGGAAGTTAACAAGGTAATTATATGTCATCTAGACACACTACATTATTCCACGTAGGAATGTTTTATTCACTGAACTAATATAAAACACAAATAACAGGATATATATATGTATGATGGCGATGGTTTTGAAACTTGGAAGAAGATCGAATAGTAGTTATTGTCTCACCTGGAAACAAATATACTTCGATGGATGATCAATTAAAATGACTCTTCCAGTTGACCAGTTTCTTGGAACAGTGTTTTCTTCTTGAATAATCGGTTTCTCATTGAACCACATTGACGGTAAATCATTTTCTTCAACATTACTACTGACTGCTTTTAGTAAGCCTCTTGGCACCACATTCAGTTTCGCTACACCTTCTGTACCAAGCAATAGGGTATTCGCATGTGACATAACACCCAAAGGTATATCCACGCTGACTTCATCAATATTGCACGGAGTTCCACCATATTCACAACTTACAAAATAGTCTGACCATTTCCACATTAATCGTGTTCGATTGTATAAGAAATGTGGACGAAAAGTACGCTTAGCCCGAATTCGCCAATCTCCATTTGTAGGTGGCCATTTTGAATTATCACCTGAAGCCTTGGCTATCCAATAATCTGCAATTTGTAAATACCTTGACAACCAATCATATATATGTATGAGATCAGATCAAATAATAAAATTTTCATCTACGCTGACAAACAGAATATAGAATAGAATATAGAACAGAATATATCTCACAAAATTGAATTGTTATCATCCACATTGTAGCATATCCAACATGGACTACTTTATGATATTATATTTGTGAACAGCCACTATTAATTCAGCATTATTTTCTTAGTTTTGTAAGTGTGCCAAGTTGCAATGTGATCATCTGACGACCAAGTGGGGAACCTCTATACCTCATAATAATAAAAGGTTTCTGTGCATAAAGCTATATAGTAAGACACCTAAAACTGAATTGTATTTCGCATTATAAACAATCGCATCCAACACTGATGCTTAATATAAGCTGCTTAGTATCACCACTTACATTACACCTAGATTGTGATTCTTTTGCGTAAATGATGTGCCTGTGGTATATGAAACAGCAATACACTGACGACCAGTACTCTTCAGATCACCTTTTTATGTCCCGATTTACGGGGTGTGAAACAGAACTATTCGACTTTATATATACAAGGATAATATAGTTTCTCGGAATTAGATTTGATAGAAATAATGAGTTAAAACTGAGGTTAGACGTAACTCTTCAAGCACTGTACAGTTGAGCGCATCACAACACTATGTTTTACCACAGTATCATAGCTTACATGGAAACAGCTTGGAAGAGTGACACGGGTAACCAGTACAATGTATTCCATTAACTTTAGGAAAAGTGATCTGTTCAACTTGAGAACCTGAATAAATATATGTGTACAACTTGGATACTGTAACAGTATGTTGTTCCATATAAGTCTTACAGTTGAGTATATCATACAGTGAAAGAGTATTCATCACTAATCATTTAGTAAACAATGCGCCTTCACTGTGTGATTTATCCAATAAAAAAATTATTATGAGGTTGAAAGAAGTGAAGAATTCACAGTTACTTTTCCTAGGTGTCACTAACTGTTTACTTTGTATTTGTGAATAATACACTTCAAATGTAGCCTAAATATCGCAGGACCAGATGGACAGTAGAGTAAAGCTAAACTGCTTTTTATCCAGAGGTCACCAGTTTTTGTCAATTTCTTCGGCAATATGACGCTAACTTTATAATAATCCACACAGAACTGTACACTATTTTCAGGCTCATATTCACTTCACACTATCACTTAACTCTGTCTAATAATGATATTAGATGGTTGGAGGCAATCGGCAGGAGGTCTTCGACCTAGGTTTCGTGCTAGTTGGCACTAGTCAGCAAGGCATATCTACAACCTTGAAGGAACTTATGTCCTTTCTGAGATTCAAACCCGCGTCACCCAGTGCTGCAGTCAGAGATGTTACCTGACGATAGAATTCAGTCTGCTCCAAAGAAACGACTAAACACATCACAATAGTTACTAGTGTCCAATCAGAGCACTGTCTACTAGTTTTAACAACTTCGAAGCTGTTTTACATACGATTTTCTAATTTTTTTATGTGTCAAGTGTTTCCATTAATAAAATGGTTGCCCATAATTCATATGAGAATGGTGCGGAAATGTACTTATTGTTGTTGTTGTTTAAAATGGAATATTTTTAGGCGCAAACTTAAACTACTTATCAAAAGTTAAATAATATACTTTGGATACAAAAAAGTTAATCCATAAGAAATAAACCAAAAAGTTCATTACCTAAGTCTCTGAAGTGTTTTCGAATAGTTCTTTGATGAAGATAGTTAGAATGAGACTGATGCAACTAAATAAATTTCTAAGAAGTGATGGCTGTAGCAAAACTGATGAATCATATACTCAGCATTCAGCAGTAATTATGGCCATCTTCAGTATGCAGTGTACATTTCAGAAATTAGGAAATTAACTCAGCTGTTTAGTTCATATAAGTAAACACTGCATTGTTAAACTGAATAAAAATTGTGAATAACAGTTTGACCAGACACGAGCTTGAGAACTACTCAAAATGACGAACCGTTAAAAGTCAGCTTCTTTCCGATTCGGAGTGGCGTTAAAGGATGAGAGTGAGGAACAAAACACCTCCCGCAGCATGAAAGTTACATTATGCCACTAAACACATAACATACTGATAAAAGTAGTTTTCTGTTCAGAGACCTCAAAAACTTTTTAATTTATGCACCTCTTAAACTGAGTGCCTTACAGATAATTACATTGATTCAAGACTAAATGTTGATCAGTTTTTCCGCCAGATTTATATAACGTACACGAAACTAATTTGTAATTTGATTTCCTAATCTCTTCTGTCCCATTACTATACGTATTTCCAGCGACATATGGACAATTCCTAAAATCGTATCAGAGACATCTTAACATCTTCCTCGACCATATGCATACACATATTTGAGCATTTGGCACTAATTTTAGATGTATTTTCCCCCTTGTATTTTAGCCTGTTCAATATTCGACTGTTCTAACATCTCTAGAATCCTCCCTGACATATAGATAGGCTGTTATCATTTCAGTAGTCTGATTATTGACAAAGTGGTCTTAAATTTTCGCTTCCAGATTACAAATTTCGTTAGCAGCTTTTTGCGTTATTTTGCAAACTGATTTCCCTTGCTAAATATGAGAAATATTTTTCTGTAGCAGGCAAATCACTTCTGCACTTGCATTAAAATTTGCATTTTGATGCGATTTAGACCAAAGTAAAACTTTTTATACACTTGCATCAATACAGATTGCTTTTTGTGTCTAGTATTTTGCATTTAACCTCAACATCTAATGCTCTTCAGATGGTGGCACGGAGGCTGTTGCGATCAAAACCCTGAAAACTCCTTTTAGCTTCGGAGTTAATCGGGAAGCAAGGAGAACATGTACACAGTAAATTTGCCGTTTAACAGGCAGCTAGATATTTCATCAATATCAATACGGGGGGGGGGGGAGAAATTTACAAAAACATCACTTTTCTTGTATGTTTTCTTTGCACCCAACTATTCACAAAATGGGTAACTGTTAAATCTGTCGATTCATGCATTTCCAGTTTCAGTCATTTAAAGTGGGCAAAAAATTTTACTATAATTCTGATCAATCAGAATTTATATATTCTTTCTCTTAAACAAAATCTGAGGACAAATAAGGACTTTTGTCACCTTTTAAACCGAAAGTGAAGGACACATGTCTTGAAATAACATGACAATTTTGCTTAAACTAGAGAAGGAACTGCATTTGAATCAAAATGCTATTTGTCCTCCATAACTGTTCAATATTTGATTCTTTCATACTTAAATGAATGTATTCTACCATCATCTTACTTACTTTTTTCGAAGATCAGGGTATCTATTCAGCCTTTCAATACTCATTGGACTATCAGGACAAATGTTTACAGTGGGAAATTCAAAATTTTTTTGTCCGTAATTAATTACAGTCGAAATAGGCATATTGATGAATCCTGCTATTAGGTCCGATACAGTGAAGAAACACGCTACACACATTGTGATTAAAATCAAAATCGTTAGTCTTCTACTCCAACCGGGTTTTGCTTCTAATAATACGTCAATACCATGAAATGTACTTCGACCACCTAAGGTATATAAACGTTGCTGCATTTTCATTATTTTCATTTCATCGTGTTTTATTCTTCTCTGACGTCGAATCTCTTTGCTGTTTTGGTCCATGTTATCGATTTATTTTTATCACTGTAAACTAATTCTAAATATGTGTGTATTTATGTATATGTTGTCCCGTTAAACATTTGGCCACGGAATATAAGATATTAAACTATATTATGGAGACACGTGACTTACAATCTGTTTGAATAGACGAAATCGATAACACATCTTAATGTATACCTGTTGTTTTAGCATATGTATAAGTGTATCAGTGCATTCAGTCATGTTTAGCGTTAGACGTAGGCTTAAATATGAATTAATCCTATTTTATAACTTACTGACATGCTCAACCTAGGTGATTTAACGGTCCCTCTAGAATTCACATTCCATCAGATGTGATAGTTATGAAAAAAATATCATTGTTTTCATTCTTGGCAAGGAAGGATGATAGATGCTCCACAGTACATTTGCCTGTCAATTAATTATCTATTCAGTTTACTTCTTTTCGGAAGTCTGGAACGGAAATTAGCAACTGAACCTCCGATCAAATAAACTTATCACTTGAGTTACGTGGAAGATCCATAACACAGCATTGGCCTTAAGTGTAGTACTATACTAACAATTAAGAATAAAAAACAACAATTAGACAAGCGACAATTTTGGCGTGTCTGGTCTATATTCTGTCGAAAACATAGCGGAACATGGAAACACTTTAGATTATTCGGTATACTGCTTATATCTTCCCACAAGTAGCATGCACCGCACTCGTATCCCTATTATAAAGTTGTTCCCGTAACCGCTTCGGCCGTTCTACTGTAGTCCAAAGTGTACCTTTCGCTTTTCTTTTCTTGACCTGCATGTATGTGTCGTTGTAGCAGTAGGAAATTTTCTCATTTTTCTTTACCTAATTTCTCTATATTGCAAATCTGACCTCACTGCTATGTAGCCACCTACCGTGCTTCCCAATTGAGAGGTAGCTTGCTTAATCCAAGCCACAAAAGTATGCTTCCATTTTCTACACATCACCTGGTCTCCGAATTCAAGTTGCTTCCTCTCATTATTTTGTTTTCGTTAAGCTTTATTAGTGCCTGGCATCTGATTTTCTTGTTTATTCCAGATAGCTTTTTCTCGCTGACTTTTCCATCTCAGCATACTCCAACGTTCTGATCAAGTTTTGTGATATGCCAGAAGTCGTGATTTCCTCCACTCATCAGCTGGAAGGACAATTCATTTGTTGTTCCTTAAATCGAGGGTCTAAGTGACAATTGTGCCACAGTCTCATCATTCCCCCAGGTGCCTTCGACTGTTTTTGTCTGTCAGACGATTAATCAAGGGGTGATAAAGCGTCGTTCTTACGCTCTTAGTACTGAGTGTCTCTATCATTATTATTATTGTTCCCTTGGGTTCCTAGTGGAACATAGGGCTTCAACTGCAATCCTCCGATTGCTTCTGTCTTCTGCTGTACTTTTCGCTTGTATCCATGTTAGTCCATACTGACTCGAAACTCTCAAAACATGAGCCTTGATCTGTTGGTATCATGTACGGCTCGCTGTATTTCCCAATCATTTTTGATTTCCACCTCAGTTACCATCTTAGTGCGTTGATCTAGAATCGCTACCGTATCTGTCCAGCGAGTGGTGTGCTCTGTCATCACCAGCAGTTTTTGGTGACCACTAAGTATTCGAAGGGAAGTACCCACTATGTTAACTAACCACTTATCGTAGACTTATGTCAATGGAATCTATCGTGGCTGCGGATGAGTGCATCAACCACCCTTCATTAACTGTCACTGTGGGCAGGCGAGTACACATTTTGAAATATCATCTCTAATGCCTGACCAGCACCCTTTTTGATTTGCTAGATCCTACGTTCTTTCAATACTTTTTGGAGCTAGCCGATTACATTTTTAGACTAGTTGCTAACGAAGGCCTTTGCGGAATCACCATTTTCCAGCTTCCATCATTTTCCTTCACTACCGGTATTCTGAACACACTAGTTTTAATCCATGTTACTACTGAAACAAGATCACCAACTCCATATTACCTTCTCTATTTCTTTACCTTCATTTATCGCCTGGATAACTGCCTTATAAGTAGTGTCATATTTCTGGCAAGGAACAAGTTGTAACGGATGTTGCCATGGGTCACTTGCTCATTATGCAACCTCTAGTGATTGACCTTTACTATCGCCTCTTGATAAGTAATCCCCTATCCCGTTTTCTTTCTCTGGAATATCTCGACTGATGAAGTCCAACTCCATTGTGATAACACCCCTAGAGGGTTCTATACTTTTTTTGACCGCTCCAAAGTTTTATGATCGGTCTCAATGTGAAATTGACGACCAAGAACGTACGATCTCCATTTTTGAGGTGGTCGCATCCTCTGACCCGGAAGATCTAATTCAGATGCTTTCTATTTCCTTCTAGACAACATCTTCAGCGCCAGCTACAATACGAAGTGAACTTGTCTGAATTCCTCATGAATAATATAACTGTATCTCATGATAACCTGTGTCGTGACTAGTTGCCAGTTTGCATCTGGAGTCCAAACAATTTCCAAACACTCCTCCCCTGCCACAGAATACTTCCGCTATGCAAGTATCAAAACCCTGCTAGCATTCTCTCCCATTCAATTCGTTTGTTTAAGGACAGCACCTATGTCAAAATCATTTTCGTCTGTGGGAATTCTAAATTGCTTCCCTAGCAGGACTTTCTAGCATCATCTGTCGATGATCAAGGAGTTCCTTAATCCGTTCAAATGTTCACTGCACCGATTCACTCCCTGTCGGTCTTGTATTACCCAGAGGTTTCACTGTCTAGCTTCACTTTTCGACAAACTACATATAAAGTGCTGCTCTCCCCAAGAACTTTCTCAACTGTCCTATTGACGTCAGTGTTTGATCACCAGTGTGTGCGTCGGTGGCACAGTGGTTAGGACTCTCGCCGACCATGCACATGGTCCGGGGTTCGATCCCCTGACGACGCACACTCGATATCTACGGTTTGCCTGCAAAATTTGGGCTACCGATATCCATGCTGAAAATTCCATGATTGTGCTAAAAATATGGTGTGGCATCAAGCTGTAATCAAAAAAATAAAAATAATAATAATGGTCGGGCTTCTGCACTTCTTACTTTATTATCCTGCAGAGTGACATTGCTTTTAGATGCCTTCTCTAATATGACCTAGACATGGTCTATGTGGTCACGTTTTGTTTCACTGTACACAACCAGTTCATCTCCACATAATTCTGAGTCATTTTTACACCCCATGGAGAGAAATATATATTCACAAGTATATGTCAATTGATACATAATAATAATGGCCGACACGTAGGCAACGTTAGACTAAAAGATCGACTTATGCATCAAAAGTGACTTATATATTTCGAAGTTCGTGGTTCATGATTTATTAGCTTGATAAGACTTGTAGGGAACTGCTAATGCCCAAGCTGATTTTAGATATATATTGAATTGCACAAGGGTGCAATCCTTCTCAGTCTGGGTAACTAGATAGCATGGACAGTTGTCACGCAGTGTCAGTAGTTCCCAGTCTAGAACACAAAACATTTGTCCCAAGAATCTTAGCTACAACCAAGCTTTTAGGAATCAATCGTAACATAGACATCTTACCAGTCAATTCTCTTTCTCCATTTATTTCTGCATATTTATTGGTCACTAGTTTCTTGTTTGGTTGATTGCTGGTGTCCCTCGTTGATTATCCTTTCTGATTGGCCATCCGATCATCTGTGTAGAGCCATTGATCAAAGCCTGTAGTACTCTGTTGGAAATGCTTTCCATGACGCGACAAGTCTCCAATCCATATAGAAACACTGACTGACTTGACATTAATTTTGGAAATCCGGATCTTGTTCCTTTTGATAAGTGCTACAAGTTTTCACATTGATTTAAGACTAGTGAACACCTGTCTGGCTTTTTCTATGAGATCCTTGATATTAATAGGTAGTCCAAACTTATATTTTGTTCCATAGGTCATTAATTGTAACCACAATCTGCCTTATCCATGGGATTGCTTCTTATATGGTATGGTTGGATTTTATTCTGCCTATAGTAATCATCTTCCTACAGTTAAACTATATATGTTATCCCGACCGATAGCTGCTGCCTTGACGTGGTGGTCGGGCTTGCACATCGCAATGACCCAACGAGCTACACTGGCTGGAACTTATGCTCCTGTAGGTCCTACCATGCCAGAAACGTTGTTTGGATAGCGGTTAGACAAAAACCAGCAACCCAATCCAATACTATGATTCAAACAAACTCACAAAATATCATGCCGGATCGGTAGGGGCCCGGATTAACAACGACCGCGCTTCCTGCAGCTGTGTCACAGGGCAGAAGTGATAAATATGCTACTGAGACGCACCAAAAAAGAAAGAACAAACAAAAGCAGGCCGCATGTGACCGGCCTCAAGCAGTTGTTCCCTGGGCTCTGCAGTCACGCAACACTAACCTTTTCTCTCTCCCCTTCTCAGACGTGAGGCCAGCAACCCCACCCTGTAAAAAAAAGCTACAGAAACTTCAGCGCGATGAATCTCCTTGCGCCAAAAGAAAAAGTCTGTGTATGGACATGGAATGTCCACACCATGTACGAGATTGGCAAAGCTGCCCAGATCGCAAACGAAATGAAAAGATGCAGAATTCAAGTACTGGGAATATGTGAAAGCAGACGGAACGTGAATGGACTCACCAAATTGTCAGCGGGTGAGTCAGTGATCTACTCCGGTCACCCAGAAGATAACCACTCGCACACCGAGGGCGTGGCTATCATGATGTCACCAACGGCAACGAAGGCCCTGATGCAATGGGAGGCGATCTCGCCCAGGATAATGACTGCCAGATTCAACTCCAAAGGAAGGAAAGTGTCAATTATACAATGCTATGCACCGACAAACAACGCAGACCTCGAAACGAAAGAGGAATTCTACAGACAACTCAATGCAACAATGAACAATACTCCAGTCGGTGACATTAAAATACTAATGGGAGACATGAATTCCAAACAGGGACAGACAACACAGGAAGAGAACTCATCATGGGTAGAGAAG